TTCTTGAATCATTCTTTCTATCTCCCTTTTCAAAGCACGACAATCTTCAATGTTATGCCCTTGGACATTAGAGTGGTACATGCACCGTATAGTAGGATCAAAACCTTTTGCATATGGGTCCGAAGTATAGCAGAGGAGTGGCTCAATCAGGCCAGACTGTTTTAGCTTTTCAAACAAGCTTGTGTAGGATTCTCCGATTGGCGTGAAACTATTTCTTTGTCTTTGTTCCCCTCTATACCCCTGTTTCCTAAGGTTGTTGGGTGCTCGAAAATGTTGTGAAGGCGACAGAATATTATGCGGTGTCGGTGCTCGCCATAAGGAGTGACCTAGTGGTTGAACAAATGACTGGATGTTGTTAGGAGGATAATACTGAGGTGGATTATGTGGAGCTCAGGGATAGGTTTGGGGTTGGGGTCGAGGCTGAGTATATTGGTGAGGCGGACCCGTTAGGCCATGTCGTGATCCTGAGACGACCATGGAAACATCATTATGTTCCTTCTGACCCAGTAAGCTCCCTGTGTCGTTCTGAATTGCTTGTGTTATGGTTTTTAAGGCAGAATAGCTCATGATCTTGCTTGACTTCAGTCTCTCTTCCACCATTTCTCCCATCTTTACCACATCATTGAAAAGCTTACCAATGGGTGAGATCAAATGTCCGAAGTAAGTAGGCTCCAGGGCTTGAAGAAAGTATTTAACCATCTCATCTTCTTCCATCGGAGGATTGACCCATGCAGCTTGCTCCCTCCATCGGAACCCATATTATCTAAAGCTTTCATTGGGCTTCTTTTCTACCTTGGTCAGGGACATGCGATCCGAGACAATGTCTATGTTGTACTGAAAATTCCAAGCAAAGGCCTAAGCCAAATCGTCCCATATGTACCACCTGTTGGCGTCCTAGCGGGTGTACCATTCTAGAGCCGCCTCACTCAGACTCTGGCTGAAGTACGCCATCAGTAATTCGTCTTTTCTCCCAACGCCTCTCATCTTACTGCAATAACCTCTCAGATGGGCTACAGGATCCCTATGTCCATCATACAAGTCAAACTTGGGCATCTTGAACCCGGCAGCCAATTGGACATCAGGGAACAAACACAAATCCTTATAAGCCACACTCACCTGGCTTCCTAACCCTTGCATATTTCTCAATGATTGCTCCAGGCTCTTTACTTTCTTAAACATATCCTCTTGCTCCGCGTTCTTGGGTGGTTTCTCAATTTCAACATGAGGCTCAAAGTGAGGAGTGTAGGAGTAAGGATCTGGGACTTTGAATGTGGGTTCTGGGGCATAGTATTAGGTATATGGAGCTTGGAATGCGGGCTCACTAGAGGGTCGGTGGAGGGTAGCTTGTGGAGGGGGTACAAAAATAGGAGCAGATGTCGAAGCAGAGTATGAGGTTGTTTTGGCTGGTGGAGCATGAAAAATTTGGGATAAAGTGTTGGGGTAGGAGTTGTAAGGGGTAAAGCTCGGGGTGTGTTGAGGGGAAATATCAACGGTAGTGGGAACCTGGGCTTGTGATAGTGGTGGGATAGTTGCAGCTTTTTCAGTGTAGTTAGTGGGGAATGAAGGTAGAGGATGCCCCCTGATCCAAGACTGATACATTTCTGCCATCTGCTGTTTCAACCTTTGGACCTCCTCTTTCAATTCAGATTCCGACTTCTCAATCTCCCTCAACGGGTTAACAATTCTTGTGTCCAAGTCTTTGCTAGCCATGGGTACCTTGCTCTTTGACCTTGTGTTGTATGGACGAATCGTCAAAGTGCCACAAACTAACCACCCTCTGTTATGATAACAATAAAAGTAACAAAGGGGAGCAAAACAAAGCCAACATGTTAGCGTTAGGGCATTTATCAGATAGAAATATCACATTGCATGCAATACCCTTAGCAACAATTAATGGTTCTAGAATGGCTTCGAGGGTCACAAGGTCATTTGGCATCATCCCAATTTTGTTCATTTCAATTTTCTCTTTTTTTTCCTAGTAATTCTTGGCTCGCTCATTTTCCTTCCTCTTTTTCTTTTTAATTGTTACTCTTTTCCTTCCTCTCATTTCTCACATCCCACAATTTGTTTTTCTTCTTTTTTCCCCTTTTTAATAATGATTCGATCGAATCCTATGTAGGTTGCCTACGTATCATGTCCCTTATGAATCAGATCAAGAGTAGTTCTGGAAAAAGTAATGGACAAAATAATCTAAGAAACAAAAATCTTTTTGAATTTTCATATATAATTTTTTTTGGTTTTTCAAATACATCACAGGAAGTACGATAACAAAAGAGTAGACAAACTCTTAAACCACCTAAAAGACTCAAAAAACGGGCTCAAAATATAAAAAGTCTCCTCAAGTAGCTCTTGAATGCAGTGGTCCTGGGATATCAGTCATGCTCAAGTCCTGGTACATGGATCCACACCTGAATGAGAAAAATAATACCAAATATATCAGTGACTCAAGACACATGTGACGCCACGACACCTTCTATTGGACACATGCAAGACCTGATTAAAGCTATTTTTGCAAAATGACCTACATAGCCAAAATGTGGCTATTAGCGCAAACTCAACAAAGATGACCTCAAAGACATGGACATACCTCACTAAGGCTTATATAGTTTCGAACTCCCAATAATCATGGCCCAAAATTAATTTGCAGAAATGACCCATTTTGCAAAAACGACCGATATGGCCCGAAGTGACTAAAGATGCAAACTCAACAAAGATGACCTCAAAGACATGGACATACCTCACTAAGGCTTATATAGTTTCGAACTCCCAATAATCATGGCCCAAAATTAATTTGCAGAAATGACCCATTTTGCAAAAACGACCGATATGGCCCGAAGTGACTAAAGATGCAAACTCAACAAAGAAGGACCTTAAAGTAATATGACACATAGTTGTGGACTCAAAATCCTAAGACATGGATAATTGAACCACTTTTGCGAAAATGACCCCATTTTGCAACAACGGCCGATATGGCCAAAAGTGGCTAGACATGTAAGATTTGACTAAGACCCCGCAAAGCCAAGAAACTAAGACTTATTAGGAAGACCAGACCCTATGTGGGCTATCTACATATCCCGTCCCAAAAGACGAGAATCAGGTATGCGTAGTTCGGGAAGATTAGATATAGGATAGAATTTAAAAAAATGCATCTGATTTGAAAAAACTATATTTTTTTGAAAAAATGATGGAAAATGTAAAATCTTTTTGGATTTTCTTTTTTTCCTTTTTTTTTTTTGAATTTTTTTCATTTTCATTTTTTTGCCTTTTTTTTTTTTTTGAAAAAGTTGTGAAAGAAAAATATAACTAGGCCCTACTTGCTTCATTTTTCACCCTTCTTTCCCAAACATTGAATGTTATTTTGGGCCACGGGCCCATTTCTGACAAATTTGGATAGGCTTCTTACAAAGGGACACGGTGCTTGGGACCGAGCCCTACTAGGTCCAAATGACATGACGCAAATAAGAATGACCTACAAGCTAACCTAAATTTGGGGTTCACTAGACAAGGCAATTCGGGGTGGCACGTGGTTGATGGCGGCTGCTCTAGCTGTCCGCCCATTCCACGCTCCCACGCCACCCCCCTAAAGACACGGGTGACTCACAAAAAGGTCGTGTACGCTCAAACGTACTCCAGAAGATTTGCTGCAGAAAGAAGAGCCATGGTTATGCAAATGATGACAGTTAAAAAGCGGTAAACACATAAGAAAAAGCGATAAACAAATAACCAACAAAACAAGAAATAAAACAAATAAACTAAACAAACAAATAAATAAAGAAAACAAACACTTCAACTGAATATCCTAAAAGCCAACAAGATCAAGTAAAAGCTCGAACCTGCAAGTTTCTATCAGAGTCGCTAGAGCTGTCACATCCCCTTTTTTACTAACTTCACTAACCCTCTATTAAATTAATAAAAAGGATTTGTAAAGCTCCAAAGGGTTTTTAATTAAAAAGTGACAAAATTATTTTCAAAAGGAAATAACTCAGAGTCGCCACCTGACATTTGTTTCGGAGTATCAGGTCACCGTTTTGTTTAAAAATAATTTTCCTTTTAAAATACTTTGGACTCCAAACTAAGTTTGCACCAGAGATTCGAGTAAGGGGGTTAATTTGACTCGGGGAGAAGGTGTTAGGCACTCCCCAAGTCCCGTGAAAGTTACGGTTGAGTACTCGATCTAGTTGGCTTTTAAACTATTCAATTGAGATAATAAACACAGAAAAAGGGAAAACAAACACGAAAGAGGCTCGAGGTCATCCCCACCCATAAAAGAAAATACAAAAGAAAAATAAAGTCCTAAATACCAATATATACCATACTTCTTCCACGAGGTTCATCACGACCTTTGTTTACATTCACTTCGGGGCATACCCCGGATAATAATATATAATATTTTGCGGGGCATTCCCCGGATAATAAACTAAAGGAACGACCTCTTTCCTCGAAACTAACAAAATCCTAAGGCTTGCCTACTCGAGTGTTGACGGCCTAGCATGCTCATAGCAGACAATGTAATAAAGCAAATTTTTACTTTTAATTCTTGAACCCCACGCCTAAGATTTGGAAGAATATCCAAACAATCAATCAATCTAATTAACTTTGTTAACCTAAATCTTTTGTTGTCACAAGTTAAATCTACCTTTTGATGAAGAAAAATGACAGAGAATCAAAATTATTCTTAGCCATTAAACCCAACTAACATGTATTAAACCAACCAAAATATAAATAACAACCAATAGAACAAATATGGGTGAACAAGTAACCATTAAAGCATTACAAAAACAAATCAACAAAATGTTAACCCAAACAATCAACCAAGCAAAGCAACGACATACACGAAATAAAACGGTATGATATGCTATAAAGCAAAATAGTAGCAGAAAGTTAGAAGTAGACCTTAACTATCTCAAAAACTTTGATTGAAAAAGTGGACCTCGATTGGGAAATAAAATTAACAAATAGGAACCGCACCAGGACCTCGAACCGTGACCTCGGGCTCTAACCTCGAAACAAACTCGACTCAATCAAACGAACTCCAATTCAGGCAGAAATCCAGGAAAAGAAACGAAACCTTTTTTTTCGTTTTCTGATTTTTATAAAATAGAAAATACAACTTGAACCAAAAACTAATTCAAACTATTTTCATTTTTCTCGTTTCCAGATTCTGTCCCGTTTTTTCGATCCTTGCATCTGTTTTTTCGATAATGTGCATGTGTGTGTGTTAATGGGAGATGAGGGAACTAGGAGGGGTTGCTGGTCCGTTTGAATTTGTTGCTGGCGTCGTCACTCGCCAGTGATCAATTCCGGCGAGGGAGGTGATGGGCGTTCTCTATTTTTGACTCCCTTTGTGGCCGCTCTCTTATGGACTCTCTCTCCCGAAGGAGAAGGTCTCAACTTGAAAAATAAGAAAAAATGCTAAAAAACGTGTGGTACCCACACTAATAACAAAAATGAAATCTTCCCCAAATTATAAGTCATAACCAAAATCCAGTACGTCACATTTCCTTCCTATTTCCACGTCTTTTTTCTTTTCTGTTATATTCCCTTTGTTTGTTTGTTTTTCCATTGCTTTTTTTTATTTTTCATTTTCATTTTTTTAATTCCAAAGATGAAGCAATATACTAGTTTATCTAAAATAATAGAGAATAATTAAATGGAAAACAAGATAGTCACATTAAAGAAATCTAAATACTCAATATTTACTAAATATGTACAACTTAAAATCACACTAAACTAAGTAAAAATATTTTTAGAACTTCTCTTTTTATCTTTTGTAAAAATAAAATAAAACTAACTAGACAAAATATTAATAAGCTAAAACAAAAGAAAATATTTTTGTAGTTTTTAATTTTAAAGGTAAGATAAAGGAATTTATTTTTATAATAGTCAAAATAGTACTTTAGACTTAAAACTAATATCTAAGCACTGAAATTTGAAAAATTTGGGGAGGGTAAAAAATTACATGTCTAAAACAGCTGTTTCGGGGCCATTTCCTTCGATGTCTCCCAGGTACAACGCCCCTTTTCTGATAATGTATGGGCCCTTCCAATTAGGAGCGAACTTCCTTTTGATTCCTTGTGATGAGGGAGAATACGTATTAAAATGAGTTGCCTTACGTCAAAGCTCCTAGGCCGCACTTTCTTGTTGTAGGAACGGGTCATTCTTTGTTGATAGAACTGCCCGTGGCAAATTGCGGCCATCCGCTTTTCGTCAATCAAGGTTAACTGTTTTAGACGGGTTTTAACCCACTCACTGTCCTCAATCTCAGCTTCAACAACGATCCGAAGAGAAGAGATTTCAACTTCTGCGGGTATTACGGCTTCAGTGCCGTAAACCAATAGATATAGGGTTGCTCCGACTGATGTGCACACAGTGTGGTATCCCAACAATGCTAACGACAACTTTTCATGCCATTGCTTGGAACTTTGGATCATCTTTCTCAGAATCTTCTTGATGTTCTTGTTTGCTGCTTCGACAGCGCCATTAGCTTTGGGCCGACAAGGGGTAGAATTTCGATGAGTGATCTTAAACTGCTCACATATCTCCCTCATCAAGTGACTATTCAAGTTTGCAGCATTGTTAGGAATACCAAAACGGCAGATGATACTGGAGTGCATGAAGTCTACCACTGCTTTCTTAGTGACAGCTTTGAGAGTGACTACCTCAACCCACTTTGCAAAGTAGTCGATGGAAACCAATATGAATCTATGCCCGTTTGAAGCTTTTGGCTTGATTGGCCCAATGACATCCATACCCCAAGAAACGAATGGCCACAGTGCTGACATAGGATGCAATTTTGTAGGTGGTGCATGAATTAGGTTGTCGTACACCTGACACTGATGACATTTTCGGACAAAATTGAAGCAATCTTTTTCCATAGTCATCCAGTAATAGCCTGCTCGAAGGATTTTCTTTGCCAGGATGTATCCATTCATATGGGGTCCACACACCCCTGCGTTCACTTCATGCATGATTCTTCCGGCCTCTTCGGCATCCATACATCTCAATAAGTTGAGATCTGGAGTCTTTTTGTACAAGACCTCGTCGCTCAAGAAGAAACTGCTGGCGAGCCTTCTAATGGTTCTCTTTTGGTCTCTATTGGCTTGCTCGGGATATTCCTTTGTTTTCAGAAATCTCTTGATATCATGATACCATGGCTGAACATTTGGTTCTGCCTCAACCGTATTGTAGTAACCATGACTTTCTCGGATTTGGATTTCCAACGGGTCAATATGGAGATTGCCTGGATATGGCAACATCGAGGCCGAAGTAGCGAGTGCGTCAACCAATTCATTATGAAAACGAGGGATGTACCTGAACTCGACTGACTTGAACCGCTTGCTAAGATCTTCCACAAGTTGCATGTATGGAATAAGTTTGACATCCCGAGTTTCTCATTCACCTTGAGCTTGTCGGATAATCAAGTCCGAATCTCCCATGATCAAAAATTCTTCCACATTTTGGTCAATTGCCATGTTCATACCCATAATACAGGCTTCATACTCAGTAGTGTTGTTTGTGCAGAAAAACCGAAGCCGGGTTATGGCTGGATAGTGCTGACAGGAGGGTGAGATCAAGATTACCCCGATCCTGACACCCTTTGCATTTACAACTCCATCGAAGAACATTTTCTAAGCATTGGTGTCTTCTGAAATTACCTCGACTGAGTTTACCTCCTCATCCGGGAAATAAGTACTCAAAGGATGATATTCATCATCAATAGTGTTTTAAGCTAGGTAATATGCTAAAGCCTGGGCTTTCATTGCCGTGCGAGTGACATAGACTATGTCAAATTCAGTTAGCAGGATCTGCCATTTTGCTAACCTCCCTGTAGGCATTGGCTTCTGGAATATGTACTTTAAAGGGTCCAGCCTGGTGATGAGATAAGTGGTGTAAGCCAATAGGTAATGCCTAAGCTTCTGAGCGATCTAAGTTAGAGCGCATGAAGTCCTTTCCAACAAAATGTATTTGGCTTCATAACTGGTGAACTTCTTGCTCAGATAGTAGATTGCCTATTCTCTCTTTCTGGTAACATCATTTTGTCCGAGGACACAACCGAAGGAATTCTCCAAGACTGTCAGATACAAAAACAAAGGCCTCCCCGGCTCGGGTGGGACCAAGACTGGTGGGTTCGACAGATATTCTTTGATTTTGTCAAAGGCTTCTTGACACTCATACGTCCATTTAATTGTTGCATCTTTCTTCAACAGCTTGAAGATGGGCTCACATGTGGAAGTCAATTGAGCGATGAATCGGCTAATGTAGTTCAACATTCCCAGCAGGCTCATAACCTCCTTCTTGGTTCTTGGAGGAGCCAAATCCCGAATAGATTTTATCTTTGTTGGGTCTAGCTCGATGCCCCTCCGACTGACTATAAATCCCAAGAGTTTGCCAGATGGAACCCCAAATGCACATTTGGCCGGATTTAACTTCAAATCATACTTACGTATCCACTCAAAGAACTTTCTCAGGTCCCGAACATGGCCGTCCTATGTCCTGGATTTGATGATCACATCGTCCACATACACCTCGATTTCTTGGTGCATCATGTCATGAAAGATGACATTCATGGTCCTCTTATAAGTTGCCCTGGCATTCTTCAAACCGAAAGGCATGACCCTGTCGCAATAAGTGCCCCAGGGTGTTCTGAATGCTGTCTTTTCTGCATCTTCTTCATCCATCAAAACTTGATGATATCCAGCATAACAATCCATGAAATATTGTATCTCATGTTTGGCACAGTTATCAACAAGGATGTGGATGTTCGACAAATGGAAGTTATCTTTGGGACTTGCTTTGTTCAGATCTCGATAGTCAACACACACTCATGTTTTCCCATCTTTCTTTGGCACGGGAACCACATTAGCTAACCATGTGGTGTATCGGACCACTCGGATCACCCCCGCCTTCAACTGTTTTGTGACTTCCTCTTTGATCTTGTCACTGATATCAGTTTTGAACTTCCTTTGTTCTTGCTGGACAGGAGGGTAATCAGGGTAAGTCAGCAACTTGTGGACCACCAAATCAACACTTAGCCCTGACATATCATCATAGGACCAAGAAAACACATCTTTGAATTCGAACAAAAGTTGGATCAATGAATCCCTAGTTCTTTCATCCGTGTGAATGCTTATCATGGTTTCTTGGACCTCTTCAAGACTACCCAAATTAGCCGGCTCGGTTTTATTTAAGTTTGGCATAGGTTTATTCTCGAATTGTTCCAATCCTCGGTTTATTTCCCTAAAATCCTCTTCTTCATCATATTTCGATTATTGATTCATTATTTCACAATTAGACAACGTGTTTGTATCTGGGCATGAAGTCCGCAAGCATGTCATGTTATTTAAAGCCATATTATTAGAATTGAAAGAAGAAATAAGAAAAAGTAACAAAAATCAGAAAGAATAAAGTGAGATTCATGAACGATGAAATATTGATTTCATTTCATTGAATTTAGAAGATAACAGGGTTTACATTGGAATTTAAAGACAGTAAACTAAAAAAAACATCCGAGTTACACCCTGGAATAACTCGTAATGTAGAAAAGGTGGCAAGACTGGACTACCGAGATTCCCGCCTGACTGGGAATGGAGTAGCCTTCCAGTTTTGCAATTTGGCATTGGGCCCCATATATAGCACCTCAGCGGTGCTCGAGTCTTCTCTAGGCTGGACCATGTGGGTTTCATATGTCCTCAATTTCCTCGGTCGTGAAGGCCTCATATTCTTCTTCTTCATTGTACTTGGGCCTCACGAATGTTTTGTAGAGATGCGGAATCAGCTGAGGTAAAACCCAACCATTGCTCTTTCGTTCATTTGCCTATGTCACATCAGTTTCTGTGGCGTGAAAACCCACACCGAAGAACTTCTCGCTAGCAGGTAAAGTGAAAGGTTCTGTGATACCTTGCAATGATGCCCTGAGTCCCTTCCCAGGCTTATAACCATGCTTGATCATTTCAGTAGCGACCATGATGGACACATTTGATAGAAAGGGCTGAGGACACGGGTTTCCCTCCTCAATTGATCTGTGACCACCACCTCGAAAGCTTGATAAACTATATACTCGCTACCTTCCTTGGCTTAGAGACATGGGACTGACGGGTCCCGGTAAATTGACTGCTCGTCTTCTCCATGAACCACAATTTCCTAGTTTTCATATTCAAATTTCACCATCTGGTGGAGAGTGCAAGGTACGTCCCCTGCCGCGTGAATCCAAGGTCTTCCCAAGAGGAAATTATTAGAAGTGTCCATGACTAGGACCTGAAATGTCACCTAGAAATTCACAGGACCAATAGTCAAAATCAAATCGATCTCGCCTATGGTGTCTCTTTTGATGCCATCAAAGGCACGCATACAGACATTGTTAGGCCTGATTCTCTC